GGGGCTTCTACGGGACACAAGAGCAATCTGGAGTCTGTTTAAACAGCCCCGATGCTGGCGACGTACACTGTATGTCGTCAGTCACAAAGGGGTTAACTAAAGACAGTTAGTGGTTTTTCAAAATAAAAAAAAGTTTTCTATAATTTTATTGTTAGCTTTAGGAAATACATTGCTGAATTAATGATATGTTCTTGTAAGACAAACATGCATACGTTTTGCCAGAAAAGAAAATGTGTAATCACCAAGTGTAATATTTCACCTCACATGTGTGAAATACAAAACCAATATGTTATGCTATATGTAGATGTGACAAAGTAGAGAGATGAAAGAGGCTGCAGACATCACTGTCTGCACTATGATCTGCCCTGAACACATACATATGTATCACCGTGTCACAGCGAACCTCTAAACATTCCTCGTCAACAAAGGATTGCCATTGACTGAACTGTGGCTATGTGGATTAAAACAAACACTATCAATTATTCATCATGACATCCACTTTTCATAGTTTGACAATTGATACTTTAAAACCACGCTAAGTTGTCTAAAATGATGAGACTTTTAATAATAACCCAGGGTGAAGAGTTTTCATAGGGCGGAAATGTGTGTTTGCCTGCGGCATTAACAGTTTTCCAGACAAAGGCAATTTGTTTCACTTGACAGCATAATTGACCGGAAATATTTAGTTATAAGTAAGTATATAGGTATATGTAATGTTAAATGTAGTATATCAATGGGATTTAATTAAATACACAACTTTTATTTGGTATTAAGATTCTTAGTTTGTTAATAATTATTTCTATATGTTTCACAAATCTGTTTTTCATAAAAAGTAGTTTGAATTTACATAGGTGTGCAGCCTAGATGTAAGAAAAGCCCATTGTTTAGGGACCTATTCATCCCTATGTACATGTTTTGTGAGTTGATATGTATTGTGCTAAGGCAGCCCATTCATAAATGATGAGACTCAATGCATGAAAAAACAAGCCTGCACTTTTTGGGGGCATTGCAGTGCACAGCAAAGCACAGTGCATTCACATATGTGCATTACTATGCACTGAAGGTCAGGTGTGTTGGTGTGCTTTGGAGTGCCAATCAGAATGAACAGTAATGTACTGCAATGCACATATACCACGTGTTATGGTCTGCATGGGTTAAAATATAATAAAATAAAATAATAAAATATAATCAAAGACATGCATGAAACTCGGTGGATGGCTGCGCGGTCATGGAATCGCACACACCACCGCTCATCACTCTGGTGGTGCCATTATTTTCTAATGGCACTCTAGTCACGCCAGGAAGATCACAGAGTTTCCGGCCGCGGTTCCGCATGTGCAATCACACATTTTTTCAGTGATTGGCGCATGGAGTTAACCCCATTGAAATTTATGTGGCTCACGCGGCAACCACTGTGTGCAACTACACACGATCGCGCGGTCCTGGGACGTGTGTCCCAGGATCGCCCAAGTCTGGATCTGGCCTCAGTTTCTTGTGATGTTTCATTGAGATATGAGACAGGTATGCTCGCAAACCCTAAATTGTTACAATGAATGTTTAATAATTGTATGTTACATTTAAATTTTTTAGATGAATACCTCTTTGCTGGGACAGCTTCAGATTTCCTTGGCAAGGAAACTACATTTACACGTTCTCTTGGACCACCTTATGACCATCATTTCATCAGGACGGATATATCTGATCATTACTGGCTTAATGGTAAAGTAATTTAAATTGATCATGTTAATAAAGATGTATACATTCTCAAAGTTTCTTCTTGTGCACAAATATAAAAAAATGGATCCTGAGCTATTTTTTCTCTATTCCTTTAGAGCAGGTTATGCCAATATAAAATTAAACTGAAAGTTAAAGGTACAACATTAACTCTAATGAACTACCTACCCAAAAGAAAAAAAAAACCCTAATATTTTAGGTTTAGCATGCCAGTTATCATTTAAAATGACAATTTCATGAAGCTAATGTACCTATATAAAAAACAGCTTTCAGCAGCTTTGTATAGCACTGTCAGATCAAGTTGGTTTCAGGTTTCCGTGGGTTGCTTTATTTTTCTGTCTTCTGGTGAAATTCCTAGTATGCCAAAGATAGGGCAATTCTCATTTTACAGTCTCACTAAAAATTACATGATAAGATGATATTGGATCAGTTAAGCATAGTTCAGTGGCTAAATGAAAACATAGTATCTAAACTATGCAACTCTATTAACATGTACTGATGTTCTATATGTTTTATAGGAGCAAAATTTTTTGGAGCATATTCTATCCCAGACACATACAATCCAGATGATGACAAGATTTACTTCTTCTTTCGAGAGACATCTCCAGAAGGTGGTGCTTCTGAGAAAACAATATATTCTCGAGTTGGAAGAGTCTGTAAGGTGAGAATAATTAGAGTAGAGTTTTTTAAAATTATTATAATAATAATAATAAAAACACTTTAATTAAGTCACGCTTGACAGAATTCCCATGTGAGAACATATGGTGTAATTAGTGCCAAAACCAAATAAGCTAATTCACTTTTGCCTAAAGGAAATCAGTAAACTAGGGGTTGCTGGTAGCTATGAAAATTTGCACCAAAACATTGTCTGTCATTTGATGTCAGTAGCAAAGATTAGTGATGAGCGAATCATCCTGGGTTCAGAGGCTGTTTGTGGAACTCATTGTAAATTCCAGAACTTCTGAACTTTAATCTGAACCCCACTGCAGTCAATGGGGGTAAAGAAAGTCAGGAAAATCAATTCTGGACAATGTCAGGGCTAATAGGAATGTGATTGTTAAATAAAAGTCATGCGAGACCTGTAGCGATATAACATATATATTTATATTGTGTAAAGTACCATTCAGCGGGTAGAGAGTCCTCTTTTATAGAACTATAGAGAGACATTGGAAAAACACCAGCCCACCAAGTTCTGCTTGGAAGGAAGATGCTTTTAAGCTGTATGTGGAGTTACACAAGAGTGTGATTTTCATGGACCTTGTCAGTGACATCACATGCTGGCATCACACAATTTGCAGGTTTACATTTACTTCTCTTTTTACTTGGCTTTAGTACAGCAGTAGCAGAAGCATGATAATCTAATTAGTTATAACTAGGTTAAAGAAAATCTTTTTTAGGTATTTGTAAATGGAACACCTTCCTTTTTTTAACCAGTAGTTAAAGGTATGAATTGACTGGTGAGAGTAGCAAACACAAGAGATCTAAAAACTATAGGAAATTGTATACTCTGCATTGTGGGCCTCTGCTGCCTATAGGGCTATTGTGGTCTCTGCCTGCAGAGTATCATCTGGTAAAAACCAGCCATTTGGGTATCACATGCAAGAGCAAATACAGGGCTATGTGTCAATGAGCTGGGTGGCAGCAGCACTTTAGTGCTGCAGGTCGGCAGCAAAAGCTCCACAATTAGTGTCCAGATAAGGTGCCCAAGGTATTCCCAGGATGAAAAGGTCACCCTCCACATAGGTTGTGAAGCTTCACAATACAAGGGGAAAGTCTTAGGGTATCTACTGCCACCATCCATAGGGAAGCCCAAACTGCTCCATTCTAAGGAGGCGGTGCAAAGAAACTCTTTGCCCCCTTTTGCTCATGGTGGCTGGATCTCCGCTTTAGGGGCATTATGGCAATGGCATAGCTGCAGAGAGAAAACTTACAGCCATAGGCTGCACACCCTTCTGAAATGCAGAGGGAAGGGCAGGAAGCATTAAGGCACCGTTCACACCATGGCATTTCGTCGTGCATTTTTGCTGCCCTGAAACGCGTGCAAATCAATATCTTATGTGTTCCTATTGGGCCATTCACGCAAGCACGCTTAATCGCACATAAAACAATATGCCCGTTGTTTAAAATAGTCCATGAGCTTCTTTTGTGGCACTTAATAGCTTGTTTTGCTCTATAGACTTTAATAGAAATACACGTTTTTGCAGATGAGACTGCTTTTCATTGGACAACTGAAAATTAGCTAAAAACACGATTAGCATTTGTTTATCATTTAAAATTTTTATTGTGGCATTTTTTTGTCATGAGGCCATCCCTGCCCTGGTAAAGCAAAGACAGCAAGAAGGGATGACAAGGTTTTAAATAAAACTCTTACAAGTGATCACATTCATTGGGGGTGATTTACTAACCTAAACACACGCACGCACCAGGTGCGTGTGATTTTCACACAGCAAAACGTATTTATCAACCAACAAGTCTCTAAAAGCATATTTCCACTAATGCCATATATGGAAAAATCATGCACATGATGCATATATAATGCTGCTTCACAGTTTAGACAAAAATGGTTAGCTCATGCATTTACATTCCTGCATTCATTAACGCAAGCAACACAACATAGAGCTAATTTACACAACATCACCTTGCAATTCATGCAAGGCTTTGCACAACACACCTGCTGGGTGTGTACACACTACAAAGGTGTTTAGATTCCACCCATAGATCATGCTGGGAGGGAACACACTACAGAGGTGTATACATGTTCGTGGTGTGTTTATAAGGTTAGTAAATCAACCCCATTGACTTTTGAGTTTTAGGTGGTCCTACATGCACTTGATATACTACCCTGCCCTGCTGCAGGTGACATGTAAGTGAAGGTCTTCAACACAGCAAGTCACATTTGTGACTGAAAAGTTGCACTTGTCAGAGAGGGCTTTATATTCAGCATGGTGAACTTGTGATTGAGAAGCTATTTTTAGCATGCTTTTCTTTGCTGCATTTTATTTACCTGAGGGTGCATTTTTTTTTGGGTGCGGGATGTTTTTAATTTTTGTTTTTTAACTGAGTTTAAAGGATGCATGGAAGTGCTGGAACAATAAAGGCAGTTTGTCAGGAACAACTGCCTGAGATTTATTGCATATAACTAGTTTAATAGATAGAGACTAGATATATTGGATAAAAGAGGAGCTCAAAGTGAAGGGCCATTTTTAAAACTAAACTCCAACTAAGTAAATACAAATATAAATTTATACTAGTCATGTGCGATTCAGACACATCCGAATTTTCGAATCCCAATCCATCCGAATGTGTCCGATTCCCAATTTCCATTTCCGAATTTTGAAACCCGTCCTAATTTCGTTCAAAAACTAAACTGAATTGGACATGTGACTTTTCTGACCAATCAGATGTGCTTTTCAGTTTAATGCATCTGAATGGGTCTGAACATGAATTTTCATTGTGGCAACATGGGAGCCATATACATTATATACATATAATACTGAAGCTTAGGCTCCTAGACCCAAATGACATTCAGTATCCGAATTTACGAATTGCATTCGGGAGCTCCCGAATACCATTAGGGTCTGGGAGCCTCAGCTTTAGTAATATATGTACATGGCTCCCAGACCCGAATGGCATTCGGGAGCTCCCAAATGGCATTCGGGTCTAGGAGGTTCAGCTTTAGTATTACTATCTGTATATGGTTTTCTGTGTTTTTCACAATAAATATTTATAAACTCATCCTAAACTAACGAAATTTCGTATTTCATCCAAAACCCGAATCAAATTTCGGATCTAAATCCCGAAATAATGAAATATCCAAATCGAACTGAATTTTTCCGCAGCTTACATGTCTAATTGAGGCAAAAAAAAACCAGTGTTTGCAGCAACACTCACCGTTATTCTGGAGCCTGAAGCTATAAACAGAAGTAATTCCCTTTCCCCACTAATTTTCCTCAGTCTCCTAGGTGGAATAACAACCAGTTTAATTTAACCTGTTTCCTCCAGGCTGTGATGGCTCCTCCGTCTTGGGTAAATTTGGTAATGGTGACATCTCTGTGCAGTTACCACAGGGGAATGGACATCAGTTTGGCGCTCTGGGGGGCTTTGATCCACCCTACCCCCAGGAGCATTAACTTGCTCACAGTTGCAGCTTCTGTTACCTCTGTTCCTATACAACTACATTAAATGGCATTACAGTGTGCTAGAGTGAATACAGGAGTCTGGAGACTTTTTGTTTTAGAAATAATTGATTGCAGATTCTGTAGCTTTGATGCAATAGCCATATGTTAAAGTATTAAGGGTAATGAATGGTCAGTAAATATGTGGGTATTATAAAGTAAAACCTAAATATACCTTAATCTGAGGAAATATTTTGCTAGGATTCCTCTTGCAAATGAAACATAATCTAGGATGTGTTGTTTCCATATACTGTAAATTCAGTACACAACCACTATAATTTAAAGGTCTGTGGCTGTAAATATAAAATCCAGTCCATGGCTGTTGAAATATATCATACTTTTGGAATTACCTTTACTGCAGTGAGATGTCTCTACCAGTAAGTACTAGCTCCCTTTCTGTCCCTCTGATTCTTTCCCTAAGGGGACAGCTGATGCTTACTACAGTCTGCTTCCTATTTGGTACAAAGCCTAGAAAATTATAGAAACCTTAAAATAATTTGCCTAGAGACAAACATCTGTGGCTTTTCCAGTTTAAACTTTGTGTCCTGTACAGTATATTATCGTTAAACACATCTTCAATGAGTGTGAAAAATGCTTTGCTTGCTGTATGTTATTTTAACATATGAAAGATAATAAGAAGTAAAGATATAATGTGTACCAGGCCTCAGAAAAAAGGAACACTCCATATTCAAGGTAGTAAGAACACACTATATAACTGTAAATAGACTTTACCCAATATATATAAGATTATTATGGCAAAGGGAAAAAAGTAGCTTCACTCCTCCACTTCAAAGTTCGCTCACTTTCCGATCAACGGAGCCGACCTGTGACAGCTTCTTTGTCACAGGCCGTCTCTAACTTTGAGGATGAGTGTAATTCACTCACTTCATAGTTCTCCTTTAATTATTTTCACACTGGCCATGATCGCCCCTTTGGGACACATTTATTGTATTTTCATACAGGTTCTGGGAAGGCGCATCGGTTTGCAGAGACTGTTTTTGATGTTTACCATAACCCCTCCATCCAGTCTATTCAATACTTAACACACTCATAGCGATCACATGATCCTGTTGTTCCAATAATATTTCTGTATTATTTGGATATGCTGAAGGTATCTGGCCAGCTATAAATTAATTTTTGGATATGTTTTGGATGTATTTACAACATAAATGAAGTCACTCTTGTTTATATTCTTACCATACTATTAGTTACTGAGGCCACAGTTTAGTGATGTTTTAGGCTTTTTGTAAGACTGAAATACTTTGAAATGATTCTATTAAAGATTCTATTTGTATTCTATCATTAGTAATGCTTCTGTCCCCAGTTCTCTATTTAAATAAATATTTTGCTAACAAAAAATAAAACCATTAAAATTGTCTGTACCCCTCACCCCATGTCCTGTTCACTAGATCAGTAGATGTGGTGCATTATACATGGGGCTATTTCAGCTTGGGGAAGCAGCTTAGATCCATGGAGGACTGCATTG